AGCGTTTAAAATTTAGATTATTATTTTCATATAAATTTATTCCCAATCTTTACGGTTTTTATTATTTCTAATATTATTTTCATTTCTTTTTTTTTTTTTTGTAGGCAGTTTACCAATACGAGATAACTGAGAAGTTAACTTCTCTTAGTGAGTGTTTCAAATAAGCTATATCTAGAAGAAGAATTTTGACAAAAAGAGTTCGAAGATAGTGAATATATACGTTTCTTTTCTATTAACAATTTTATTAAATTAAAGTGTCAATTGATGACGAGGACAACTTTTAATTCGTAAAATTAAGAAACTTCATTGTGAAAATATTAATTATTGTCTTTTGTTTTGAATTTATTTGAGATTGAACTTTGACTTCAAAAATGAAAATCAAAGAGTTGCAAAAAACAGTAAACATTGCTTGGTCACCAGCACCTCAGCAGCCAATTTACTTAGCTACCGGAACAGCAGCGCAACAATTTGATTCTAACGCTGCATCGGTATTAGAAATCTACTCGACAAATTTCAGTGATCCAAGTTATGACTTGGAATTAATTACTTCGTTAAGCAGTCAATACAGGTAAAATTATTAAAAAAGCAGACATATTAGCAAACTCAGCATATGGCATCATTTTCACAAACACGATTGATATCCGATATGAAGACTATTTTACAAGTTCCACAAAATATATATTTTCTATATATCAAATATATGTCAAGAGAAGAGTTAAAATTCCTTTCGTAGCAGATACAAAATTTCATATTTTCCTATATGTGGTGATGTATTTATTGAACTTCCAATTTCAGATTTCAGAAGTTGATATGGAGTCCGACAGGCTTTGGATCCGCTCACCGCAATGGTTTATTAGTCGGAGGTTGTGAAGGAGGTCATGTTATGATCTATTCTCCGGCAAAGATGCTGGCTGAAGAGGACGGTTTAATAGCTCGTCAGGATAAACACACTGGTCCAGTGCGCGGTCTAGACTTCAATCCTTTCCAAAGTAATTTGCTTGCTTCTTGCGCCTCTGAATCCGAAATATTCATATGGGATTTAAATAATACTGCAACTCATATGAATCCCGGCACAAAAACAATGCCTCTGGATGACGTTAAAAATGTGGCTTGGAATCGACAAGTTCAGCATATCTTAGCTTCCGTTTTCTCCACACGTTGTGTTATTTGGGATTTGCGAAAAAGTGAGCAAATTATCAAACTTTCTGACACGCAGTCACACGTACGTTGGCATGCTATACAATGGCATCCGGACATGGCTACCCAAGTATGGTTGGCATCTGAAGATGACCAGGCTCCCGTAGTACAACTATGGGATTTACGTTATGCTACTGCGCCAGCGAAAACTATGCAAATTCACCAGCGCGGCGTTCTGGGAATGTCGTGGTGTCCAAGCGATACCGACTTGATGGTTTCCTGCGGGAAGGATAATCGAATTTATTGTTGGAATCCGAATACGCCAATAATCGAAGGTGAAATACTCTCAGAAGTCGCCACCACAGCCACATGGTATTCCGATGTTCAATGGTGTCCAAGGAATCCGGCTTTAATAGCCTGCTCGAGCTTGGACGGTAATGTGTCGATTTATTCCTTGTTTGGCGGAACACAACAACAAGTGCAAACTTCTAATAAAATTGCCGATTCTTTTCCGGGTATGGATCAGTTTGCCAACGTTCCTATACCTCAACAATGTACGCCCACAATTTATAACGATTTAAAATACGCTCCTAAATGGATAAAAAAACCTGTTGGCACAACGTTTGGAGTAAGACTTCAATCCCTAATTTTATTACATTCACTCATAGTCGAAAATTTATTTTTAAACAGTTTGGCGGAAAACTCGTTTCTTTCAATAGCAAAAATAAGACTGTAACTGTTTCGCAAGTTACCACAGAACCTAAATTAGTGGAAAGAGCGAGGGCTTTAGAAAAATCTCTAAGCGAGGCAAAATTTTCTGATTATTGTCGACAAAAAGCCGATCAAATGCCTGATCAGAGTGGCCGTTATCTGTGGTATTTCATTAAGGCTAATTTTGAACGCAATCCCAAAGAGGAAATTCTTAACTTACTGGGTAAGAATAAGTTTCAGAATTTGAAAATTAAGGCATAAGCTAGCGATAGAAATTTACATTCGAATTAGGTTTCAATAAAGAAGACATTGATGGGAAATTTGCCAAATACGTGGCAATAGATGCTATAAGTCAACTGTCACAGGATGTTGAGCAAATTACTAACCGTGTTAGTCATCTAACACATGTAAGTACAAAAACTTATTGAAGTGAAATCAAACAAGTAAGAAAATTAAATTTGATCGGAACCGAATCTTTTATACCCATCACCGTTTTACCCAAAAAAACACAAAAGAAGTAAAAGAACAAAATTCTCATGATCTATAAGATGAAGCAGGCGTAGTAAATCTCTTCTATTTTCAAAATAAAAGTTTTTGTCGTAGAGACTTGTGGGCGTTGTAGGCGTGTACTTTGAAAAGTTTCGTTACGCAAACAAACAGATGGACAGACGAACAGGCGGATAAGTTTAGATCCATTCAAGAGTTGCAACCGGCCAAGAATTTATATATTTTATGGGGTTTTTCAAGCTTGTTTCTGCTTGTTACAAAAATATTGAAAAAATAATTAAATTTTGATGCACCATAACATTGGGTAGGCGTGGTCCATTTTTCCATTTTTATACCCAGAAGAATGGCTACAGCATCGCTCATACAATTTTACAAAATTTTTGTACATTTATCTCTTACACCTTATGAGTAATGAGCAAAAATCCAATTTTTCATTCGTCTTGAAGCACAGAGGGGTTCTCAGCTTACGTGATGCTGTGGGCGTCTCCTACGTCCGATTTGGGCCGTTCTCATTGCTAATCTGCGTGCAAGAACTTCCAAAATTTCTGCCAAATTTCAAGCCGATAGATTCATTTTTGGGGCCAGGAGAATGTCTATAACAGACATTACACAAATGGACAGAAGGACATGCTTAAAATGATTTAGAATTTGATGCTGATGAAGAATTTACATACTTTATGGGGTCTCTGATGATTCCTTCTGAGCGTCGCATGCGTTTTGATAAAATGAATATGACCCTCATTCTTCGGTGATGAGTATAAAAACTTGTGAACTAATAAAATATCATATGCGTATAAGTTAATTACACATCTGTTTGAGTTTCCTCTCTTACTTCAATGGTATTTGTAAATAAATGCAAAGCAAAGGGTAGACGACAAAACAATAAAAGATAACGCAAACGTTTTTATAAGACTTTTGTATGCTTTGCATCATTTTATTCTCTTTCAATTCGCAAACACATTTTTTATTTAAAAACAATTATGCCAAACGAAAAAAGAACGCTTCCAAGGATGTTGAATGTAACCAAAGCACGGTTGGCAGCATAAATAGTGAAGTGGTAAGAGAGATTTCTTGTATCGAACATGGCAATGTTAATCGAGAAATAATATTTTGCAAATTAAAAATAAAACATTTTATTTATATTTCTAGAGCCCTCAAGTCGACCAGGCGGCGATGTTTGATGATATAATTGCACGGAAAAACAATGACAAGAGCGACGTGCAAAAGCCTTTGACACAATTCAAAATACCCATTGGAGAGCGTAGGTTTTAACTAACATGTTTAGCTACCGTGCTTACTCAACTAACCGAAATTTTTTTTTTTACGTTTTCAGACCCCGATAGCCTTATTACCGAAGCTCTACTAACTGGTAACATTGAAGCTGCTGTACAACTTTGCGTAGATTCGAAGAGAATAGCGGAAGCGTTAATTATAGCTTCGACCGCTGGCATAGATTTTTTGACTAAAATTCAAAACCATTATCTTCAAGAGCAGAAGAATGAACTCTCTCAGGTCATATCGGCTGTAGCGACAAGTAATTGGATGAATTTTATCAACAGTTGTGCTATAGAATCATGGAAAGAAGCTTTAGTGGCTGTTCTGAAACATGATGAACGCAAAGCTATAAATATTTGTGAACGTCTGGGTGATCGCTTGCTAAAGGAATGCTCGCACAGCCCCGAATGCACTCGCAGTGCCATGCTTTGTTTTGTTTGTGCTGGCAATATCGACAAACTGATCGATTCCTGGCATCATTTGAAGCGATTGGAGCACCAAAATCCCCAACATAAATTGAATACGGATGAACTGCAAGAATTGGCCGAAATTGTTATGCTAATGAACAAATCGTTGGAGGAGCAAGGTGTTGCGGTAGAAATAAATGGTGAGATGGCCGAATTTTTAACCGAATATGCCGGCTTATTGGTCGCACAAGGAGCATTCACGACCGCCTTATCATATATGTTAGAAATCAAAGCGTCCGCCATGAATTCAGAAATAGACGATTTGCGTCAAAGAATTTTCAATATTGTGCAGCCACAATCTAAAGCTATTGCTCCAAATTTCAATTTGCCACAGCAACAATCACAAAATACTTACCAAGTGCAGCAGCAATCACAAAATAACTACCAAGCGCAACAACAAGTACCACAGTTACAACAACAATCTAGAGGAAATTTTTCCAATTCCACGCCAATAAATAATATGAATTTCCGTAGTGATGCGCCAACTTTTCCGGCACAAACAGCTTGGAATGCGAATGCGATTAGTAACAATATGCCACCACCAGCAGGATCGTCTGTCCCATTTAATCCGCCTGTTGTAGGTATGCCAACACATATAAAGCCACTCAATAATGCTGAAATGCCTCAGCCACCACGCCCCGTCAGTGCTGCCAGTTCGCAAGATGGTAGCAGTAGAAGCGGATTGCACTCACGTTTCAAATATGTTTTAGATCCTTCGGTGGCAGCAGCTGATACCATGGCTGGTTATGGTAATTCTTACAATGCACCACCACTAAATATGCCCGTTCAAAATTACAATGTAACACCTTTGAATAGCCAACCAATGGGTGCTTTACCAATGCAAAGCGCATATAATCCTACGCCTTTTTCTAATTCAAACAACTCTTATATGCCTAGTACGTTTCCCGTTGAAACGGCTGCTTTAGCAACCTCACCGCCAGGTCTTTCACAACGTAATCCCACACCTCCGCCTGGCTGGAACGATCCTCCCGCTCTAAAATTCAACGCACAGGTAACTTAGTAGTCCAACATATTTATATTTAAAAATTAAAATGCAATCCATTATGATTTAATTTTCCTTTGCTTTTCACTAGAACTACTTCTATACAAATACGAAAAACGAGATGTATGCGCAACATGCGGGTACACGTAAATGGCAAAAAATTATCAATCATGATTTGCAGAATAAGAAAAGTAGCGATATCACGAAAACTTCTTTAGATTCTAATAATTATAACTATAACGTCTTCTCTCCTACCGTTAATACCTCGTTGCTTAACCAGTCTTCTCTTTGGCAACAGCAGGTACTTTGCTTTACGCAAATGGTTGCCGTTTCCTGTTTGTTGATTTTGACGAGACTAATGCTTGCTTTCTGTTCGATTTGTTTATTTGTTAGTTGTTAATTGCTTGAATTTTTTTTTTTTTTTGAAAAACGTCTTTTTCAAAGTATGTCTAAAACACTTACAACGTATTTTTCCAAATCCCTATACATTGCAGGAGAGTTGTTCATGTGCTTTGCTTTAGGTTAGACTTTTCTTAGTTGTTTCTCTTTGTTGATTTATTGACCCTTTATAAATGGCGATGGCGAAAGTGTAACAAAAATAATCAAATATAAACTTCATGCAAATTTCTGAAATATGATTTCTTTTTATTAATTTCTTCAAGAAAAACAAAAAAAAAAAAAAGAAGAGAAACAGAGGATCATTATTAAAGTCGGTCCTCTTTAAAAGTATATACAATTTTGCGCTTTTTATTTCTTCTAATGAATAGTACTTTGGATTGTATTTTATATATACCAGATTTTAAGAATTCAGAATTTTTATATTGAACATAATGTATTGCAGGCGAAAAAAATCGACGCTCAACCCATAACAGCGCCTATTACCCATCCATTATTAGGTGTTGATCCCAATAAAAACCAGAATGATTACGCGGATTCTAACAATACACAACGTCAACAGGTAGCAAACCACATTAGATATTTAACTAAAAAAAATTACTAAAGCAATTCACTTCGTTTTCGTTTATTGAATTCTCTAAACTCTATGTAGTTAATTTTTGACATAACCTATGTTTTCGACACATCAATTTTTTCAATATTTGTATTTAACGATGTATTTGATTTTTATGCAGATTCCTAACATGCCTCCAATACAACATTCATCGATGTTGTCATCGGCGGAGCCGCCACAGGGCATAGTGAATCAAACTTGGGCCGGCGTTTCTGCGCTCAACAATAATCAAACACAACAGCAACCATATAATTTTCAGACTGCGGGTTCGGTAGGTAATCAACTACCAAACCAAAAATGGCAATCTCAGCCAAATATTGGATATAATGACGACCAGTTGCAACAACAACAGCAGCAACCTTTAACAAAGCAAATAACTAAAGAGAAGCCCCCACTTCCCGAAGAATATATTTATTTGCAAATGGTATTGGAAGAACTCAAAAACCAATGTCTTCATAAAGCCACTGATCCGGTAAAATAATTATCGATTTTCAAGTTCTCATAGCAATGACCATTTTTTTACTTTTCCTAGCGAACTAAACGTAAGTTTGTGGATGTGGTTAAACGCTTGGAAAATTTGTATGATTGCTTACGCGACGGCAGAGTAAGTCTATTTTTTCTATTATCTTAGCGGAAATCAACTAGTAACGAAATTTCTTATAGTTAACTACAGCGACCGTACAGTCACTCAACCAAATTGTGCAATTTATACAAATCGGCGATTATGGTAACGCCTTGCAAACTCATACTCAAATTGCTTTCGGTTCAGACTTTTCGCAGTGTGCCGGTTTTATGCCTGGCCTTAAGGTGCTCATACAGTCAGCTAACGAGTTGCAAGTTTATTTGCGGTAGACTTATTTTTATTTGTAATTTTTATTATTCAAATCCGTTTGCAATATGATTTCGTTAAGGCTTGAAAAATTGTTTTTTTTTTCCTTTTCTACAAGAGAAATTTGAACCGTGTTTCAAAACATATAAATTTTTAAGTTTTTATTTTGTTTTTTGTTCTACTGTAACTATCCTGAATTATAATCACCTCTTAATAGTTTGTAATCTTACTGTCAAAGTGAATTTCAGTGTTTGTTTCTTATCGGAATTATCAACGCATGTTAACTCATATTTTGAACGAATTCGTTGTTTAACGATTATACTAATAAAAACTAAAATAAAAATCCATTTTCAGCTTTTATGCTGAATTTGCTTGACTCAATTTCTACACCGAAGTTAATATCAATATAAGATTAATAATAATAGTAAACAAACCAAAAATGGTTTCCTTGAAAAATCTGTAGCTATCTTGTCTTCTCGGAATCTTGGATATTTGTCAAATATGCTACAAAAAGTCGCAAGCAGGAGGATCTTCCATGTAGAACGTTATTTTTATTATATTTGTACTCGCGCAAAGTATTGGCGG